GTTGTCTTGGTTTCAGATTACTGCTAACCAGGACTCCTAAATCTTTTTCGCAATCTGTAATATTAAGATCGACATGTGGCATGGTTATTTTCCTGTCCAACATTTAGAACTTTGCATTTGTCTATATTAAACTGCATCTGTCACTTCTCCGGCCACTGCATCAGTCTATTCAAATCTTCCTGGAGTGTTCTAATGTCCTTGTCAGAATTAATTCGACGGCCTATTTTGGTGTCATCGGCAAACTTGCTTATGTTGCTCTTTATGCCCTCATCAATGTAGTTTATGTAGATTGTGAACAACAGGGGCCCCAACACTGACCCCTGTGGAACACCGCTAGTGACGCTTCCCCACTCTGATTTCTCCCCATTTATGCGAACTCTGTTGCCTATTTGTCACCCATGCCTCTATCCAGGAAAAAATTTAGTTTAGTCCGTTCCGTGACCTTTCTTGTATCCTGATCTGCTTGTATGCCGAGTCAGTTTTCCTCAATTAAATTAATTGAAATGCCATTAATCCATTCCAGTGGAATTCCTGCTCATCTATCAGTTAGTCTAATATGATATAATAAATATAAATAGTAACATAGAAACCTGATATATACTCTAGAATGAATAAAATGTCTTTATGCGTGTAACAAATGGAGGCGGTCATTCCTGCCATCTAGTGATGGTATTCAATGCCATCTAGTAACAGCCTTTCGAAGCTTGCTTATTTTAGGATGTATTATTATTATAGTATTAACTATGTATTATAATGGGGAAGTGTTAAGGGGCAGTATAACTTTTTTTTTTTTACTGTTAATATTTGTCAAAAAGATATGCCAAACAACTGAAAAAAGAACGGTTTACTGAAAATATCCTTTGGCAGGATCATAGTCCTATATGGAACAACGTAAGGTTGTTTGGGCACTTGGTACCGAGAGAACAATGCTAATACAAATTTTTCTTGATGCACTTTCCTCTAAATATCTTATCTTTATTCCACACAAAAAGTTTTAGTATTTAGACTTTTGCATAAAAATCTGCCCTTTACTCCCACATAAATCCCAAAATATTTGGAATACAGTGGACCCCCGGTTAACGATATTTTTTCACTCCAGAAGCATGTTCAGGTGCCAGTACTGACCGAATTTGTTCCCATAAGGAATATTGTGAAGTAGATTAGTCCATTTCAGAGCCCCAAACATACACATACAAACGCACTTACATAGATACACTTGCATAATTGGTCGCATTCGGAGGCGAGTTATGCAGGGGTCCACTGTATTTCCAAAAGTGCATCACTAAAATTAAGAACAATCATTATTTTACAATTTCTGTGAAGATCATCCTACTTAAGTAATAAAGGCATAGGAAAGAGAAATAAGTGAGTAAGTTACTTCTGAGATATAGGCGTGGAACGCAGTTTCGATTTTGTTCGCGAAAATCCAGTTTGTTTCGGTGGTTTCCTTGGTAAACTGATGTTCTAATGCAGTTATCCTCTTCAAAACGGCGTTTTCTCTTGCTGAAGGCCAAAAAATACGACGAGGGGTAATTTTATATCCAATATTGCTGGTGAACTCGCTCCCTATTGTGGCCTATTTTATTAAGTTTAGAGTATATAGTATGTTTGTTATTTATAGTGTTTATTATATCACATCAATTCTGATAGATAAAAAGCCATAGAGTTGATATAAGCGTAATAATGAAGTGATTTCTCCTGCCTCTCTGGAGCGGGAATACTGCCGGTGTTCCCAGATGGTTCCCAATTGGTTGGAAGACTACGGATAAGCTCCGCCTACTTTTTGATGCCAAATAGTCAATTATTATACTAGAAAGAATAATGCAAGAAATAGCGATAAAAGGAAAAAAATCCAAAAAATATATATGGGTGGAGAGCAGATGCACTACCCACATCGCCTTCACCATACCTGGTATAAATGACTATAATTTCTTGTAGAAATGTCATTTAACGTTGATTCTGGTACCACTGTTGCCAAAGTTCAGCTATTTTTCTATATGATTAACTCAATTTCATAATTTTTTTCCGAAAAATCGCTCGCACGCCTCGCACTTTATACCGCCACTTAAACCCGTGGAATTATACAGCACCTGTGGGGGGGGGGGGGGGATGGAAGGTATTCAGGCTTAATTTAGGGAACTGGAGCACAGATAAAATTTCCCCTAGATCAGAGCCCCTTGCCAGCATCCTGAATTTTTGCTTGTATACAGAAGCAAAAAAATTGACTAGTGATTGCTTGTACCCTGAAAAATTAGTGAGTGAATGATTAAATTTTTTTTTTTTTAGTCCACCTTGGTGGAGACGGCTAATGTATTCATAAAAAATGCTGGCTAAAATTAGCAGGTGCCATTTTTCACGGCATATATTTTAATGCAACTTTATTTTCAGATGTGTGGTGCAGAGAAGTTATGAGAACTAGGGGGAAGCCATTTTAAAAGTTTGAGCAAAATGTTTCTGAAATGGGTCTCTTCTAAGTGCTGTACTGTTCTGAGTTTGTCCCTGTCTGGGATGTGCAAGGATGGTTGAAGAATCATTAAGACCCCCTAGTGCAGAAACTAGATAATAAACTGCTGGATAAACAAGGCTGCTGCTCTTCCTTAGAGACCCTAAAACCATCCTGCATATTAAAAAAGGTAGACGTTTGCTAATTAAACTGAAATTTTATGGAAATGTTAGATTAATTCACATTTGTGGTTTCAAGTAGATGGCTTCTAAATGTGTACTAAAGTATTCTGCCACTGGGCCATGTTTTTATTTGTTGACTCGTTTATATCTAGTAATTAGAATGTGTATGGTGTTACTGGAGGATGCAGCCAGGGGTGGTTTTGTAGGGCCCAGGTCCCTAGTGCTTGTGCTGCATGCTTTTGTCCCAGTGCCCCCTAAAAATTTAATGTGAAGAGTGGGACTATTATTATTGTAGTTTGATTTATTAAGGTGTAAAATTTAAAAATCTTAACCCTTTGACTGTCGAGACCCCTGCTCGCAAACTTGCTCTGTCAAAGAATTTTAAGTCTTGAAATAATAAGAGAATATTTTCCCAATGGTAATGACACCAAAAGTACGAAGTTTGATGGAAAACTTACGGAATTATGCTCTCGTGAAGTTAGTGATCTCGGCGATACTTGCACATCGGCGATTTCGCCCACTTTGAGCTCTATTTTCAGTGTTCTATTGAGTACAAGAAACCTGTTATTTACTGATTTCAGCTACCCAATAGTGGCCAGAAATTGGTAATTTAGCCAATTTCATGCAAAATTTAAAGATGTCAATTTCAAAATAAGGTCCAGAATGAACATTGCAGACATTCCTTGCATTAAAATATTTTGTTCATCAGTCATGTCTCCAAGCTCCTCTTGCATTACTCTTGCTTTCTATTTTGAATTTTTATTCAAAAGAAATTAAGATTTACTGTTATGCAGACTTGCATTATTGTAATTGTATAAATAATGCCAACCCATTCATGACTGCGTATTAGAATGGCTATTTGGACACCTAATGAAAAAATGACGTTATTTGTTTACTCTTGAACATTGGCAAAATCGAACATTTCTGCTACTTGAACTCAATTTCTAGGTCCTTTTCATCAAGCCAATCGAAATCTTTTTTCTGTAATTTCTTCCATTCTATCAAATGAGACCAAGAAAACGAGAATATAGCCTTGAATACTATACGAAAATAAACACCAAAGTTGGCATTTTAATCCATTTTTTTTTTTTTTTTTTTTTTCCTCTCGTGTACTGTGCTGTGCAGGATTTTTTTTATACTGTGCACTCTGACCACAGACCCATTCTCTCACATGTGGACCTACCAGCTTTCTCCCGCTCAATTTGAAGCTGCTAGAATTTTGAAGTTTAAATACGTCAAAAATGCTGGCTCATAAGGCATGTATGTATCGGAAAGGGTTAAAGGGGGGAGAACAGAAGACACTAGGTGTCTTGGCAGGCAGAAATTTCAGGAGGGACATTTGAGGGAGCAACTATACTTAGGGTTGAACTCTAGCCTGTTGAATTATAAGAATAACTTTTTCTGCCCCAGTGATTTTAATGAAAAGGCTGGAACCTCTGAGGCTCCAGCCTTTCCTAACATGTCAAATCTTTAAGGTTTGACATGTTAGGAAACTGCTTTTGGGAGCTTTGGCAGTCCTGACAGACGTTAATAAATTAGTATGAATAGGCACACGTGACTGGAACACTACACAAATAACCTGCTCGCATGAGAAACGTGTGCATGTTTAGGTATTGTTCAGTCAAGGTATTTGCCTATTATGGACCAAACAGAAAAAGCATCTAATTCTTTGCAACTATAATGGCTCCCTTCCCTTCATGCTTGTTTTAGTTACTGGTCAAGTAAGACCAAACTTGTCATAAGGTTGTCCTATGTGCAGACTATTTTTGGCAAAATAAAATTTGGTGCCAGTGATGATATAAAACTTCCTTAGATGTCTGACTTAAGGTGAAGATGCATAGTCCTGATGCTTTATGCAGTATTAGTATTTTGGTCTTTAAGATTGTGAATTTTAATGGTGGTTTTCTATTTTCCAGGAAATTTGGGTTTAAGCCCTTGCAAAAAAGTAGCTTATAACAATGGTAAGAACCCCCTTTTTTTTTTTTTTTTTTTACAAATTACTTTCACATGCAGGATTAAAGGTTGTGAATTTGACTTTGACCAGAAACTAGTTGCAAAGGGAACCAGAATGAGGTGCATAGGGAATGGCATAACAAGAGGGAATTTTAGTACAGTGATGTATGTGGCAGTATGATAGTAGTAATGAGGGGGGGGGGGCATGGTAATACTGTCAAAGGAACAAGAACAGGGGGGAATTGCAGGATAGCTAATGGCCCACAGGGGGTAGGACAGAAAGAGCCCACATACAGACAGGAAAGGTGAAGGGATAAGGAGAAGAGATAAAGAAGTTAAGTCACTTGGGATTACTCGTCTTATTAACTGGTTTCTGCCGAAACTCTAGCTTCAGATGGTTTTGTTGAAGCATTCTTGTATACACTAATATGAATCTTGGCCTTGGCTTTCTGTAATTGACCTTACCAGATGCTCAAAACATCCTTCACTTTTCCTATATTTTCATTGCCTTTTGGGACTTTAGCCTAGGTAGATTTTATCCTACCACTGGGCCATTTAGGTCTCCTGCATTGCTACTATGGCTGAAATTTTTTTTTTATAGCAAGACTAGGGACATTTGGATATCTTTACTGAAAAGTTTTGCATATGCTGTAGTGGTATTCATCTGTAGGTATCTGATATATAATTTATGTATATTTTAGTTGATCATGATGATCACTGGAAGAGTCTAACGATACATGTTGATTATTAGCCAACTCTGAAGATAATGTTCAATATACTATTTTTGTAAATACCATCTCAGATTAATGTTAGTTTTATTCCTCAGATTGATGATGATCTTCAAATTTATTAGTAAGTATTTTAAATTGGCAGTTTGGAGGGATATTTTTGTGTATCTTTATAACGTTTTATGCTTCTAAACTTGTATTCTGAGCACCTCTGCAAAAAGTGATTGGTGATGAGTGTGTGAAAGTGTTGAATGATGAAAGCATTTCCTTTTGGGGGATTTTTTTCTTTTTTGGGTCCCCTGCCTTGGTGGGAGACGGCAGACTTGTTAAAAAAAAAAAATTAAATTGACAGTTTTCTTATTTTTATTAAGTTGTACTGGAAAAGGGTTTACTAGCCCATTGTTTTCCCCGCATTTAGTTGACCTTTAAAATGTGCATGACTTAGAGGAAAGATTCTTATTCTCCTTGCCCTGTCATGCGAAAGGAAAAGTAATAAGAGCAAGAATTAAGATTAAAAAAAACTTGGACATTGTATATACGTACATAGGTGTACATGCATGCATGTGTAGTGTAACCTAAGTGTAAGTAAAATTGTCAAGATATACCTGTTAACTTTTGTGTTTGAGACATGCCAGCCCACTTACCATCCTGTTAGGAAAGTGCAGGTTTTTCACTCGTTTAGGACCGTAGTACCTCCCTGGGTGGTTGCTGTCTATCAACCTATTACAGACAATAATGAAATTTATTTTTTTTATTGCTTTTTGGGTCACCCTGCTTCTGGGAAGCTGCCAATGTGTTACCAAAAAATTAACTTTTCCAAATGCTGTGTAAAGTGCAGCTTCAGATTTTTTTATTTGGCCCTCAGACTGTCCAGGATGACTTCATGGCATTTTGTGTGGAGTTTCAAGGTTGTCTATAAATTTTTATTGCTAAATGCTGTTTGCCACTTGGATTTACTAACACACAAATAGGGGTATGAAATAAGACTAGTCAAAGATCATTTTTAAACTTACTGAACCAAAGTAATTATCATAAGTTGATTTATATAGAAATAACTCGTAGATTTGCAGGTAATGCTGAGAAAAAAAAAAAATGTTTGATTAGCCCTTGAGGCTGTCTCCAATTTGCTATTCAGTTTCTAGAATGCCTAAGTAACTTGTTAGCATTTTTTATTCTTGGGTGCAAGCATAAATTTCGGATCTAGAATTGAAATTTCAACCCAGTAGCAGTCTAGCAGGCAGTAATTTATTACTGCTTAATATAGTCCATATTTTTAGTATTGCTAATGGTTTTCATAATGAATTAATCCTGTTCTACCTGTGTTTGTAAGAGCTCTTGCATAGCTAGTACTTGAATGACTAATTCATTCACCTTGGGGGGGGGGATGGTTTTTTCCACTTATAAAGTGCCCTTTCATGTAAGGTTAGCTTTTTTTTTTCCAACATGCTTAAAAATGATGATTGATGACGAGTCCTAAGGTACAACAGCTACCTGTGCCAATTGGTGTGGACATGAACGAGGCATTTGCCTGATTAATGTGCTGTAATATAAGCTATTGTGGGAAATGTGTAGTCTTCCTAAATTGTTTTCCCTTTCAGGGAGGGTGAAGTTGGAGCATGGAATCTGGTCATTCAACCCTGATTGCCTCTTACACCAAAGTGTGATGTGAGGGTTTAGTGCCTCACTTCAAATCCACACTTCTAGTTTGGTAAGAACCTTTTTCTGAAAGTGGTTAGAAAGTAAGTGCTCTTAAAAATGATGATTGATGACGAGTCCTAAGGTACAACAGCTACCTGTGCCAATTGGTGTGGACATGAACGAGGCATTTGCTGATTAATGTGCTGTAATATAAGCTATTGTGGGAAATGTGTAGTCTTCCTAATTTGTTTTCCCTTTCAGGAAGGGAAATCTGCATGGAATCTGGTCATTCAACCCTGATTGCCTCCTACACCAAAGTGTGATGTGAGGTTTAGTGCCCTGAGCAACATCTTTTAGGGTTGCTGAAGCTTCAAATCCACACTTCTAATTTGGTAAGAACCTTTTTCTGAAAGTGGTTAGAAAGTAAGTGCACTTAAAAATGATTGACGAGTCCTAAGGTACAACAGCTACCTGTGCCAATTGGTGTGGACATGAACGAGGCATTCATTGGATTGATATACTGTAATGCAAGCTATTATAGAAAATGAGGTGGCCCTAAATTTTTGTTCTTCTTTCAGGAAGAAGGGTAGAGCATGGAATCCCATTGGACAACCCAATGGTTGGTTCAACCTTGATTACCTCTTAACCTCCCAGAATGTGATATAAGGATTTAGCAACCCCTGCTTGATAATCTTCAGGCTTTGAAAAATCTTCAGATTAACATTTCTGCTGTGGTAAGCTTTCTTCAAACTATGAAAGTGATTTGATATTAGGGGGGATGCTCTGTCCAAGGAATTGGGCTATCTGCATTTGCTTATAGCAAATAAGAGTATAGCTAGTATTCAGCTAGCTGTTCAGTTAGTTAACTTGGGCAAGAGCAAAGTGATCAAGAAAAGAATTTAGGTATTGGATATCAGTTGGAAGCAGGTGGTATGGAAGAAGTGAATGTGTAGTCATCAGACAGATGTTATATAAGGCAAGCCATATAATATCCATGTAAGCAGCTGTGGAGGAAAGTTACTGTAGTGGTATTAACTTCCGTGGGTGAAAAACGTGGATTTTAAGTGTTGCAGCAATGATGAGGCTGCAGACAGTGGAGAACGTAATAGTGTGGTTTAAGTATTCGAGTTCAGTTTGGAGATTAGGACAAGGTGAAGTGTTGCTAAGAAATGTTATCCAGAGTGCTGGAGGGTTACTGAGTACCTTGACATTTGGGTAGGGAGCAAATTAAGAGGGGTAGGGGTATGGGGTTGTCCTAGGAAAGGGAGTGATCTAATAACTATTGATACATTTAGTATTAAACCATCTTAATTTTACAACACTTAAAAATAATCCTAAATGATGATTGTTCACAGACCTGTTCTGTAATACTTTTGAAGAATCCGAACGGCCATCTGATCATTTTTCATGTGTTGTATCTAAGTGTTGCTTTTATATCTGATATATCTTCAAATTTCCAGCAAGCAGTACCAAGCTTTACAATGTTAAAGCTCCTATCAAACATTAAGGAAGGCCCTAGACAAGGAGCTGATAAAGGAATGTTCTTCCCTCGATTGGACCCAATAGCCTCTCATGCCTTAGGTACTGTATGTCCCCCCCCCCCTAGTTATTTATATTTGTTTGTAGCAACTGTAGAAAATTAAATGCAATTATACTTTAAGATATGCTAAACCCATTTTAACTTTAAGATTACTTTAGCTTAGAATGCATCCTTGTATGATGAATGATTATTATTCACAGACCTGTTCTGTAATGGTTTTGAAGAAATCTACAACCATCTGATCACTTCTTAATGTGCTATACTGAATTATTGTTTTTTGTATCTAATTGGTTCTATTTAATTTTCCAGGTAAGAGGCAGTCCTGAGCTTTACGTTTATCAATCTGGTTTCATCCCATCTTCTAATCTTCCAGAGTTTTTAATGTAAAAAATTTAAATAAAATGTCTACTGTACATTTTTTTTTAATATCTTCAGTTGGCCTCTATATGTAGGTATGAAGGGAAAGCTCAAGAGATTAACATTCTAAGCAGAATATAGGCTGTAAGGGAAGCCTAGTTGTCAACCATATTTATTAATATGCCTAATTTGTCTTGTGATAGCAGTGCTGTATGACCCTTATGGGTTTAGCACTTAAGATGATTTTAAAAGTAAATTGTTGCCACAAGCTAACTTATGATTCCTCAGACTCATTTGTACTAATGTTTAAATGCTGATTAGGAGATGCATTTTTCAGTTATTGCACAGCACCCAAAATTTGTTCCTATTGCCCTAACCTCAAGGGAGGTTCCTTGATGCTGGTGAGGGGCTCTTGCTCTAGGTAATTGCATCTCAAATCCCTGAACTGATCCTGAACACCTTCCAACCCTCTCCTACAGGTGCTGTGCAAGTGTTCACTGCTCCATTATATATACTAAATCCATTCTACTAACCATCTCCAGGACTTGAGTGGCCTCCATGTTGCTTTGACCACACTCCCACAGCATGTCGGAGTATTAAAAACAATTAGTCTCAATTCCCATTAAATATGCTTACGAATGTTTGCTGAAAGTCCAAGCTCTGGCCACAAAACATCCTTAACCCTCCCCTTCCCTCCACCCTTCTAGGATGACCCCTACCCCACCTTCTCTCCACTACAGATACACTGAAAGTCTGTTTTGTTCCATTCTCTGCCTGTCCAAACCACCTCAACAACCCTTCAGCCCTCTGGATAAGTTTTGGTAATGCCACACCTAATTTCCAAATTACGAATTCTCTGCAGAATATTCACTCGCCACTTTGCCCCGAGACATGACATTTCCACTGCCTCCAGCCTTCTCGTTGCAAGTCATCACCCATGCTTCACACCCATAAGAGTTGTGTATATAAGTGTTGGTATAACTATATTATACATTCCCCTCTGCTTCCACGGTATCTCTCAACCCCATTTCACCCCCCCCAGAGTCCTAAGTGCACCACTCCCTTTTCCCCTCGGTTCTGATTCGCCTCGTCCTTCATAGACCCATCTGACGGGTCCACTCCTAAGTATCTGAATACATTCACCTTTCATACTCCCTCTAATCTGATATCCAAAATCTTCGTCACCTAATCTTTTTATCCTCATCACCTTACTCTTTCCTATATTTCGTTTGGAGAGAGTGGATCAAAGTAGAATGACATGGAAAGCATATAAATCTATAGGGGAAGGAGGGGGGGTGGGGGTCGTCCTCGAAAGGGTTGGAGAGAGGGGCTTGGACTTCCAGCAGGCGTGCGTGAGCGTGTTGGATAGGAGTGGGTGGTGCTTTTGGGGCCTGGCCCCTCAAGGAAGGTTCCTTGATGTTGGTGAGGGGCTCTTGATTTAGGGAATTTGGATCTGTGCTCCAGTTCCCCCAATTAAGCCCGAATGCCTTCCACATCCCCCCCCCCCCCCCCAGGCGCTGTTATAATCCTCCGGTTTTTGCGCTTCCCCTTGATTATAATAATTGGGACCTGGCGATCTGTTGGAGTGTGAGAGGTAGTATTTGGTGAGGGGATTCAGGGGGAAACCGGTTATTTTCATATAGTCGGACTTGAGTCCTGGAAATGGGAAGTACAATGCCTGCACTTTAAAAGAGGGGTTTGGGATATTGGCAGTTTTGGAGGGATATGTTGTGTATCTTTATATGTGTATGCTTCTAGACTTGTATTCTGAGCACCTCTGCAAAAACAGTGATAATGTGCGAGTGTGGTGAAAGTGTTGATGATGATGAAAGTATTTTCTTTTTGGGATTTTCTTTCTTTTTTGGGTCACCCTGCCTCGGTGGGAGACGGCCGACTTGTTGGGGGAAAAAAAAAAAAAAAAACTGCTAAATTCGTCTACCAACCTCTGCAACTTCTCTTCGGAATCTCCCAAAAGCAGTGTCATCAGCAAAGAGCAACTGACAACTCCCACTTTGATTCTTTATCTTTTTAACTCCACACCTCTTGCCAAGACCCTCGCAATCACTTTTCTATATTGTTTGCAGGTTTCACTTGTAAACACTTTGTCTACACACCCCCTACCTTTCCTAAAGCTGCCTTGTTCATCTGCTATCCTGTCTTACTCTTAATTTTTTCAATAACTCTACCATACACTTTACCAGGTATATTCAACAGACTTATTACCCTATCATTTTTTGCACTCCCCCCTTGCCTTTAAACAAAGGAACTATGCACGTGCTCTGCCAATCCCTAGGAACCTTACCCTCTTCTATACATAATCACTGTTTTTGCAGAGGTGCTCAGAATACAACAGTTCAGAAGTTTATACGTATTAAATACACAACATATCCATCCACACTGCCAATATCCCAAACCCCCTCCTTTAAGTGCAAGCATGTACTTCCCATTTCCAGGAGTCATGTCCGGCTATAATAAAATAACCGGTTTCCCGAGTCCCTTCACTAAATATTACCCTGCTCACACTCAGCTCGTCAAATACCATTCGTGTCCATTCACTCCTATCAATTCATGCTCATGCACGCCTGCTGGAAGTCAAGCCCGTCGCCCACAGAAACCTCCTTTTTCCCCCCTCCCTCCAACGTTTTTTTTTTTTTTTTTTTTTTTCTTCTCCCCCTCAAGGAAGGTTCCTTGATGTTGGTGAGGGGCTCTTGATTTAGGAAATTGGATCTGTGCTCCAGTTCCCTGAATTAAGGCCTGAATGCCTTCCACATCCCTCCCCAGGCGCTGTATAATCCTCCGAGTTTAGCGCTTCCCCTTGATTATAATAATAATAATAATCCAACGTTTTCGAGGACGACCCCTACCCCGCCTTCTACAGATTTATACGCTCTCCATGTCATTCTACTTTGATCCATTCTCTTAAATGACCAAACCACCTCAAACCCTCTTCAGCCCTCTTAATACTTTTATTTAACTCCACACTCCGAATTTTCTGCGTAATATTTACACCACACTTTGGCTCTTAGACAGGACATCTCTACTGCCTCCAACCGCCTCCTCGCCTGCAGCATTTACAACCCAAGCTTCACCCATGTAAGAGTTTTGGGTTTACTACTATAGAAGCAAGATGCATTCATTTTCTTAAAATTAGTAGTCGAGCATTAGAGATCGTGTTACTGAAAGTGATTATCTTTATTGGGGTAAATATGCTTAGGTTAGCCCATTCAAACCCCTGCACAGAAGCCCCCCAAAATTTTCCTCAGCACTGGTGAACACCCTTTCCCCAGATGGATCGAAAAAACTGGAACCGACCTCCGCATGAACCAGCTACATGATCTGTCAAGTTAGGCAACAGACACTTCCCTGCTCCATGGGATATTACCCTATTCCAAACTACCATTCCAACATTTTCCCCAAAATTATTCTTAAATCGCCTTTGCGAATAATCACTCAGTTATTGCCATATTTTTTGACCTTGAGAAGGCATAGGGACACAATTGGAGGTATAATATTTTGGCCCAGGCCCATTCCTTAGGCCTCCGAGGCAATCTACCATCCTTCCTTAAGAACTTTTTAACTGACAGACATTTCCGTGTTCGAGTCAATAATGTTCTTTCCCCGGACTTCGTCCAAGCTGAAGGTGTCCCTCAGGGAGGGTGTTCTAACCCACAACACTTTTTCTCCTTCTATAAATGATTTGGCCTCTGTTTTCCCCCCAATATTTGGTCATCACCCCTTATGTTGATGACTTCGCTATTGCTTGTGCAGGCGCTGACTGTCACCTTATTGCAGTTTCTCTCCAGCATGCGGTCGGCCCGTGTTTCCACTTGGGCCCCCCACACACGGGTTTAAATTTTCAAGTACCAAAACTCGCCAAATTACTTTCACTAGACGCTCTTTTAAATCTCCGATCATCCTTTGTATCTCTATGGCTCCCATATCCCCGAACGGATAGTCAGGTTTCTAGGCCTTCTCTTTGACCGTCGGTTTAACCTGGAAACCTCACATTACCTCTCTAAAGGCAACTTGTCACAGCCGGCTAAACCTTCTTAAAAACCCTTGCTCATTTTTCCCTGGGGAGCTGATCGTCGAACTCTGCTTCGCCTCATTCAGCCCTCGTTTTATCGAAACTCGATTATGGTGACCAGATTTATTCCGCGGCCTCTCCTGCTACTCTTCTCTAGCCTTAAAACTCTATCCATCCCCAAAGGGCTTACGTTTGTGCCTTGGTGCTTTTCGCTCTTCCCCTGTTGAGAGCCTCTATACAGAAGCAAATGTTCCATCCTTGTCGGGATCGCCGTGATGCCCATTGCCTTCGTTACTATGTACGCTCTCACGATCTACACATCCTTCCATTTATAGAATGGTCACCAATATTAGTGGGACATTCTTTATTTCGTTCGCCGCCCCTGTTTGCTCTTTCCCTTTTCTCTTCGCTACATTCACTCTTGTCTTCCTTCAGTTACCACCTTTATATGTTATGTGCATCTCACTTTTCCCCCACCCCCTGGGAAGTTCCAGCTGTTCGGGTTGTTCTTTCCTCACTCCTTGCTCGAAAGCTCAACTGCCTACGGTGGCTTCCCGCTCTCTTTTTCTTGATCACTTCCACTCCCATTCTCATGCCACCGCTGTGTCACAGATGGGTCTAAGTCCCTTTAGACGGTGTCGGATTCGCAGTAGTGTTTCCGGGACAGCGTCGTACGGGGGCAATTTACTATCTTTAGCTAGCATTTTTTTCTGCTGAACTGTATGCCATTCTTGCAGCACTTATTCGTATCGCATCTATGGGCCCGTGTCATCATTTGTAGTAGTCTCAGACTCCCCTTTGTGCTCTACAGGCTATACGAAAAAATTTTATACATCTCATCCCCTGTTCCTCCGTATCCAACTTTGGCTACGCCGTATCTCTACCAAACATAAAGATATTGTTTTTTGTTTGGGTCCCTGGTCATGTCGACGTACAGGGCAATGAACAGGCAGACATGCTGCGCGGTCAGCAGTACATGACCTACCAATTTCCTATCGAGGTGTTCCATTTCTGGACTATTTTGCTGCA